CAGATATACTATAATCTTATTCTGTATATAAGTTATAACTATTAATAGTATTAATAGCTATTCCTAATCTATATATCTGTCTAACAGGTTATAAGCCTGGTGCAAAACAGCTATAAATATTAATAATAAGTAAAGGCCTAATTAAGATTACTAAGTAAGCTGCTACTCTTGTAGCGAGGTATAGTTATATTATACTTAATTATAAAATGTAAGCGAGTTAAATACTCTAGAGCTACAGAATTATAAGTCTATAGATTTAAGAGTAAAGGTATTAATTATATTATAGTTTATCCTAAGACTCAGAAATTAGCTTATTATAGCTTATAAGTTAATTAACTCTATTAGGATTAACTAAGTATAATAATAATTAATTAATATATTTCTTTTTTGCTTAAAAGTTTATAATAATTAAAGTATATATTTCTTTTATCTTAGTTAATTTAATTTTATACTAATTATTCTTTTATTCTACTATTAAAATAAATAATATTATAATAAAGAGATAACTAGTACTAATCCTTATATATACTAATTATAAATAATAATTTAAACTCTTTACCTTTTACTTTTAAGCAAAAGAAATCTGGTTAGTATTAATATATACTAAAGTACTTATTAAGAAGGCAGAGAAGTTAAATACAAAGGCATAATACATTATCTATATCTATATTAAAGACAGAGATCAAAAGCTTATAAAAGAATGCGCATTAGTAAAGGAAGCGTAAGACATATTAAAGAAGAAATACATAAAGACAAGACTATTAATAAACAGACACTACCTATAGTAGTATATTAACTATCACAAGAAGCCTAAGGAGAACATAAAAGATGTGTGAATAGAGATTTAGCGCTTAGGAAGACGTATTAAAGTAACTAATAACTTACTTAAAACATTTATTATATAATACTAGATGTTCTAATAGCTTCTTACTTTCTTTTCTCCGAAATATAATACTGTATAAGATGCTATTAATAGTTAGGAAGAGCATCTCCTTAATATTGAATCTCTTATACAATAACTTCTTAAGAAAGAATCTGTCATGCTTATGGCATGCCCTGACTAAGACGCCTCAGCAGATGCGCCTCAAAGGCGACTACCAAATGTTAGTAGTAGTTAGTTAGTTAGTCGCCTCAGAGGCACTTAGTCGCCTCAGAGGCAGATAGAGCATAGACACACTCCACTCATGCACTGACTTCAGACGGATTGTCGCCTTCTCATACGCATCTGGCCCACAGGTGCACCACATATTGGTAGCTTTATCACTTGAACCTTCTTAGTCGACTTCTACGAACGAGAGAAGCAACTTTGAGCGTCCAAACGACCCCATTGGCCCTCCGGTTGACTCACGCGCGACCGCAGACGCCTACGACCCACCTTCGACCCACCTACGCCTCTGAGCCGGCTCCTGTTCCGTTAGTGTTCAGAAATTACCTCAAAGGACACCTTTATACCAGCCTGGTCAAGTATTCTGGTATCCTTCACTCCTATACCCGACCAGACACCCGCACTCTTCGCCTCTAGACGCCTACGCGCCTGCCAATGGAAGGCGCATCAAAGGACAACAGTTGGATAGACAACAACATAACCACTGGGAGGCAGCTGCGGCGGAGCCCAGGCCCTAACCGGGGGTCAAGAGACACTAGTAGCCGGACCCAAGCCGGACCCTCCACATCTGCCGCTACCCAGGATAGCGCCGACCAACCAAGCGGGGTCCTCAAGGCCAAGAAGCCGGGTACTCCAGACCCTAAGCTAACAAATAACGCAAAGACGCCAGGAGCCTTCCCAGAATCTGAAGACCCTCCTTGAACAACAGAATCTGACCTTGAGTCGACAGAATCCCTATTAGTCAATCATAGGGAGAATCTGCCTGTGCCTACCCCGTGGGTAGTAGCTGACTTGCAAGGCCGCATTGGAGCACGAGACACCCCTGCCACTGACCCGACTTTTTATAACAAAACGCAATTCGAGATCGAATGTGCCTTGATCTTGCACTTCTGTAAAAATCAAAAGGAATACCAAAAGAAGGGTCACAAATTCGTAAAACTCATAACAAAAGACGACTTCTATCGAGCCAGAGCCGCCCTGCACACTAAGACGGAGGTGAGTTTCAACAAGTTGCTGAAGAAGTCGGAACTATATCAAGAAGGGGGAGAATTATTCGAATATTTGACTCACCCAGAGAGCTTCCCGGCGTGGCTGAGACGATTCCGAGCGGGACTTAGTGCGAGTCTCGACTTTGGGGAACCCCCTACTTCTGACGGAGAAGACGAGTATCAAGATCCAGAAGACGTATCACTTACCTCTCCTACTCCTCGCCCTGTAAAAGAAAAAGGCAAGGAAAAGGCGAGTATGAGGGGAAATCAGATGCAATCCCCGCTAGCTGGCGTGGTTCAATCAGCTAGTAACAGGGGTTATCACGTGGAACCTTTCAGCGCATGAGGGCCAGCCGCAGCAGATATCCCGGGGTTTCAAACCTTCGCCGACTTGGGCGCTGGCCCGAGAGAAGCCGCTAGAAATGCGGGCCTAAGCTCGCGAACCACTAGAAAGGCACCAGAGCTTTCGACTCGACGGCAGACCAAGGCGCAGGAGAACCATCCGATACCACCCCCTCAGGCGAGGGAGGTATCCCCTGAGCCCCCGGGGCGAAGGAGAAGACGGGAAATGGCGACTGAGGCGACCCAGGTTACGGAATACCTGGAACAGCAAAGCCGAAAAATCGAGGCCTTAGAAAGGAAAATCTTAGAGATGGAGTCGAGTCGGAACAGTCGGGCGCCCCCTAGTCGCCATAACCCTGATCCAATAACTACGCAAGACGCCCGATATTACGACCCTGAACCAAGGATCCCACAAGATGCCTGATACCAGGAACGCACCCGGGAGCCCTATGCGACGCACCACAGCCGATTCGAACGACCACATGTAAGAGGACGGGGAGACCTACCACTTCGAGGACCTCGAGACGAGTTTCGCCCGGATCATCTCTAGTCGGCGGAACCTATGTACCTGCCTCGGGAACAGGACTTCATGTCAGCACCACCTGATAGACGCACGTCTCAGACGCCTTCGTACACACGTTCACGCCTTCGAGCCAGCGATATCCTCCTATGGGACCCAAAAGAGAAGTTAGTCGGGTTCTTTATAAACCGCTTTAGGCAGGTGGCCCGTACTGAAGGGGAGGCAGAGGTCCTAGCGACCTTGCCGTTATGTTTGAGGGGAGACGCGCTGGATTGGCATACTAACCTGCCTTGAGAAGTTGTTGAAGCTATGCATGCAAGCCTTGACGAGTGGGAGAGACAGCTCCAAATCGAATTCCTTCCTAACCAGGGAGAGGCCGCCACAAGGGCACGGCAACTGCGCTTCAAGTTCGAAAATGCGGAAGAACTGTCTCTTGCCAGCTACCTGCGTCGAAAGGCGCAATTGTTGCGCGATGCAGGTGTGGCAGATGAATCTTCGATTAAGTTCGAAGTCTGGCAGGGATTAGATCCCGAGATCAAAAGCATTACACCACTTCGAAATAATGAGACTCTGGCCCAGTTTGTAAGTCGGGTCCGAGAGAACGACTCTGCAGCGTCTTTTACATGGAAGACCAAGAATAGAGGCAAAGACAGGTCGCGTTCAGACAAATTCACTACCAAGGCGCCTTTCCATACTCAGCAGAGATATGAGCGAGTTGAGCCTCGATCCAGCCGGTATGAACCCGAGTACAAACGAGAAGACAGAAGGCCAATAGAGCCTACTCGGGATAGTAGACGTACGACCCGCGTTGAGGACCCAAAGCAAGAAAAGAAGGCACCAGTGAATATGAAAAGGGAACCAAGACGCCCGTGTCGTCACTGTAATGGTAACCATTGGGACAATGAATGCCCAAAGGCGAAGGCGAACTTAGCGAGGCGCCAAGAATTTGAAGATTCTGACACGGACATGGACGAGGCGGTAGACGCTGAGACGGACGATGAAGCCGACTTTATGGCAATGCGGGACTTAGGTTCGACCGACTCAGAGTCGGAAAACTGAGAGAGGGAGTGCCAGGCGGCCACCTTCCTCGGAGAGAGCGCCGTCAACATGCAGAAGTCGATGTTAAGACGTTATGTTATAGCGTATCAGCAGCGGCGGCAATGTCAAGGGAGGACACGCCCGAAGAAGTCGCCCAACCGGACGAGGCACGGACAGAGAAGCCGCCCTCAGGCATGTCCTTCGCACGATTCGATATAGCCACCACGCTGCATTACCCACCGGATGCGTCTACACCCCTCTCGTTCTGTCTTGACTCGGGGTCGAGTATATCCCTTATAGGCCGGGCATGTTTCGAGAAATATTTCCAAGATAGCACTATTCGCCTGGCACCTATACTGATCCCAGTCGCGGGAGTCGCGGGCGTCACCCGAACCACTGAGTATATCAACATAGAAGTACGCTTGAAGAGCGAGAAGGGGAAATTCATTCGCATCGGAGGCGAATTCCATATTGTACCTAGTTTGTCATGTAGCATCTTACTCGCAAACGACATTTTGCATACTTACCAAGGAATCCTTGACATTGGCGCGGAAAAAGCGACCTTCGCCAACACGCATGTGATACCTATATCAGTGTTCAAAAAGGCGTCAGCCTTGCCAAATATGCCACCTTTCCCAGTGAAGAAGGTGGCTCGAAACCCACCTCGAAGGCGCAAGGTCGCTGTATACGCGGCGGGGTCTACCGTGATCGAGGCGGGCCAGGGTATCAACATCTCTGTCAAGCACAGGCCACTTCCGGCAGGGAAGTCTTACTTATTCATGCCATACCCTATTGAGGACATGGCCACCGGCCGGTTGGCATCCGGGTCAAAGGCTATTCTGTCGGACGACCCTGAGGCGGTCCCTTTCGCGAACTTCGGAGAAAGTGCAATTCGTATACATCCCAAGCGCCAGCTCGGCTGCCTAGAGGAACTGAAGGATAGCCACCTAGGGGCGCAGGTTATTCGTGATACCCTCATGACACGCGTCTTTATAGGGGAGACAGACCTAGGTGACAATCAGCCTTTCGTTATCGCAAAGGATAAGGACGAGGACTTCGATGTCGTCTTAGCGGATATATCAGAGCATTAGGGCACGGAATACGCAGACCGGATGCGGAGAGTGGTTGAGAGCTATGCGTATTTATTTCGACCCACCCTAGGCGCCTTTAACGATGACATCGAAATGCCGATCCGGTTCAAGGATGAGCTAGACGTGTCTGGTCTGAAGACTAACCCATACAACCTTTCGAGACGAGACAGAATAGAAGCGGACAAGATTTTGGACCCACTTGTAGAGGAAGGATGCGTCGAGCCGGTACCCCTAGGCCACCCATTAGCAGCATCATCACCCGCGTTTATCGTATGGAACAAAGGCAAACCACGACTGGTAGTCGACTTGAGGAAGGTCAATATGAAACTGTACCCAGATGCATATCCGTTGCCATGACAAGATGAGGTATTAGGCGCCTTAGGGGGGAGCTGCATATTCACTTCCTTGGACATGCAGAAGTCCTTTTTCCAACAACGAATAAGTGCCAAGGATTGATGGAAGACGGCTTTTGCAACCCCCTACAGGGGACATGAACAGATGACTGTGGCGCCTATGGGGCTAGCGACTACTCCAGGTTTCTTTTAACATCGAATGGAGAATCTGTTGCGTCGATTTCTGTGGAAATTCGTACTCGTCTATATAGACGACATCATAATATTTAGTCGAGACTCACAAGAACACCTACAACACGTGAGCCAGGTGCTGTCCGCCTTAGAGGCGTCAGGAGTCTCACTATCCATCAAGAAGTGCCACTTTGGTTACCCCAGTATCCAGTTATTAGGTCATCACGTGAGTCGACTCGGATATAGCACCTTAGAAGAAAAGGTGGATGCTATACGGAAGAAGGCGTTCCCTAAGACTCTCAAACAGCTTGAGACAGGGATAGGCTTCTTCGGATATTACCGAAAATACGTAGGACACTATTCGAGCATCGCAGAACCCCTGCAGCGCCTTAAAACAATAGGATTCAAAGGCGCACTAGTGAAAGGTCGGCAGAGAGACCAATACGCGGCAAAGACGACTCTAACCGACGGAACGGCAATAAAGAACCTGGAAGAGGAAGATAGGGAGAAGCTCATCGCTGAAGCTAAGGCGGCGTGGGAGAAGCTCAAGGAGGAACTAACCGCCGCCCCTACACTGGCTTACCCGGACTTTAGCCTCCCTTTCAAGTTGTATATGGACGGGTCGTACGAACATGGGTTCGGGGCGGCTGTCCACCAGGTCCAGGACGGGGTAGAGAGACTGATTATGTTCCTGTCAAGGGTCCTGAAGCCGAGCGAGAAAGGGTACTAGGCTACAGAGCTAGAGACGGCCGTATTGGTATAGGCCCTACAGAAGGTGCCTTTCTATTTCGACCAGGGCGACTTTGAAGTTGTAACAGACTATTCGCCCATTCTGGGCTTATGCAAAGAGGCAAAGGGACGGCGGTCTCAGCGACTGGATAAGTGGGCCCTATTCCTCTCCAAATTCCACCCCAGAATAAAGATCACGCATAGGGCGGGTAAAAAACACGCAAATGCAGATGGACTGAGCCGACTACACGACGAGAAAGACTCGCGGGCCTTAAGCGTAACGGTCATAGGCCTCCAGGAACCATTCTTAGACCAGATAAGAGACGGGTTGAACACAGACAAGGCCTTTACAACGGTGATGCAGAAGGTCCGGGCCATGAAAAAAGCAGCAGAGAAGGCAGATGAGGATACGACTGACCGAGAATGGGCCTATCACAGCTTCGTGTGGAGGGCGGATGGCCTGTTATACCACATACGAGCCGGGCATCCGGATCGACTCTGTATCCCTGTTAACGTTGAGAGAACACTACTCGAATCAGCCCACGACCACAATGCGCACCTAGGCCTCAAAAAGGCATATGACAAGGTATACCGATTCGCCTTTATACCCAACCTTCGCATAAAACTGGCTCAATACATAGAGAGCTGCCCTGCCTGCCAGCAGGCAAAGCCGGCAAGGCATAAGCTATACGGAGAGTTGCAACCATTAAAATTACCTGCTCGACCCTTCTAAGTATTAACGATTGACTTTGTGACGGGCCTACCGGTGTCTCAGGGTTTTGACGCCTTTGCGACAGTCACCTGCAAATACAGCAAGTGGATACATATCCTGCCAGGTAAGGAGACATGGACAGCAGGTGAATGGGCGCACGCATTCTTTGACCAAGTCGTCCGCTATCACACGTTACCAGACGCAATTGTATCCGACAGGGACGCCAAATTCACAAGTAGTTTTTGGCGGCATCTCATGTCAAAGTGTAAGGTGGCAGGGCATATGACAGCTGCCTACCACCCGGCAGCAGACGGCCAGTCCGAGCGTACGAACCAGTCAGTCGAGATAGCCTTGAGGTGTCTCCTGGTTGGGGAATATGAGGAAAGATGGGTCGATATTATAGCGGAGGTGGAACGATGTTTGAATTGCGCATATAACGCATCAATCGGAATGAGCGCCTTTGAGGCGCTATACGGATATCCGCCGCGGATCGACTTCGCGAGAGGCTCGGAGCACAATGAGGCGCAGGAGTTCGTAGAGGCAAGGGAGTTGATTCGTAAGGACTTAGAAGACGCAGTTCAGTTAGCCAACGCACGCATGGCATTCTTCTTCGACGAGAAACACGAGCCACCACACTTCCAGGGTAAGGTGTTCATTAGGTTAGTGAAGACGGGTCAGAAGGGATACTAACTGCTACGTAGCTCGAAACTATCGACAATCCGCATGGGACCGTATCCTATCAAAAGGCGAGTCGGTCAGCTTGCCTATGAACTAGAGCTGCCATCACATACCCGGATCCATCCAGTTATCTCCTGCGTTCACCTCGAACCATTCCATGAGGACGCACACGAGAGACGGATGGCGGAACCTGTACCAATTATAGTCGACGGAGAAGCAGAATGGGTGGTCGAGAAGCTGTTACGTGCGAAGGGCAAAGGTGAACAACAACGCATTTTGGTGAGATGGAAGGGCTTTGACGACTCGCAGAATACATGGGAGCCTTGTTTGCGTTTACTGCACGACGTGCCTGACCTAGTAGAAGCCTTCGATCGACGCCTGAGGCGCGGTCGACCTAAGAAACAATGAGAAGACTATTAAAGGAGTCAAGGCGTATCAGGAATACATAACATACAGACATTTTAGCAAACACATGAACACTGCACCTGAGTTATCCACTAGGCGACTTTTAGAAGTCAGCCATATATGCAGGTAAATAATTATTCACCTCCTACCTTAGCACACATACTTCTACAAAGGCGTCTTGTCTATCATCTTCCTTGGCAGCTTGCAGTTAATGTCAGAGAGAATCAATCAAGAGAAGCGTTCTCGAGAATCAAGAAGCCAGTCAGAAGACAAGCAACCCTTGTTTAACTACCCAACGTGGCAGCGAGACCTCAAGTCGCTTGAATCAGAGAAAACAGGCGACAAACAGTCAACAACAGACGAAGACTTGTCCTACGAGGCGGTCAAGGCGCTTCTGAAGGAGGACCGACACGGCTCGCCTCCAGAAGAGCTAATCCACATCAGAAAGGCACGTCTCAAGAGGATCCGTGCGAAAGAACGAGCAAGCCAACCCAGAGCCCCTAAGAGTAGCATCAAGGGGAGAAACCAAGGCGCCTCGAAGCAAACACAACTCTAAGGACTGAACCTTGGAGACAGTCTCAAAATCGGTTCAGCCACTTCCAGTGAACGACCGATAGTCAGGTCACCGGCGAAGGAATTCCTTCAGCACAAGAGACGGTCACCAAAGCCGACGGCTGAGGAGCAAGAATTTCTAGACGCCCTTGAGATACCTCATAAACCAACCCCGACACCTCCCTAATCATCACCCGCATTACCCAGCGAAGAGATGGCGTCTGCAGGGACAAAGTCTATGCCAGGTAACATGCCAAAATGTCCTGACCCCCTTTTGCAACCATTGTACGTGAGAGGGCTACAGACTACAGGTCTGAGAGGTTTTTCAGGGAAAGGAGCCATAACGTATGACATGTCGGCGCATTTTCCGTGTTTTGAGTCACCTACAAGCAGAACCTGGTGGGCAAACAATAGGCTGGCGCATTATTTTCCAAAATTCGTCGCCTTAGATGATACCGCATTTTATGCGGTCTACAAGATATTCAATGCAGAAGAGCGAGCCAAGTGGTTCTGTATTAACTTTGACTGTCAGGGAGACGCCCGGACGACCCGCATCGGATTTGGAACTCTACCTAAGGTGGTCTACAAGGGCGTAGTGTACTACGTCGTGCTTGGTAAATACTATCCGCTTTTTGGTAACGAGGGCGGTACAAAACCAGATGGCTTCCTAAGCATAAATGCGGGGGTCAAAGAGGCGAGGAACAAGAAAGGGTCGCCTTTTTCGTTTGGATCAATACGGGTCCCAAAGAAATATAGGGACGTCCGGGGAGTCGTTTACCTGAATCGTACTTCAGCAGACTTCCAGGAGTACGAGCTACGCGGCTTGAGGTTCTCTCCGGCCGCAAATGACGAATCCAAGGTGCCTACGTGGCATAAGAAAGAAATCGAGTAGAGGAAGCTAGATTTCTTCTGGGAGATCAAGCAGCCAAAGCCGACTCCTACAAAGACGCCCCCGAAGGGAAAGACCAGAGCAGCAGCAACTGCCATACCCGGCTCGTCAAAGTCAAAGACCACTGCTGCACCCGGCTCGTCAAAGGCAAAGCCATTCTTTGGCCCAAGGACGCCAAACAAAGCCGCCCCATCGCCAACCAAAACTCGACCCAGTGCGGGTAAGGATAGGAAAGCTGCCGCAGCTTCCAAGACAGCCACCCGCCCCTCGCCCTCGAAACGCGGAGCCTCACCGGACAAGAGGCAGGACCAAAAGCGTCAGCGTACTGACACAGGCTACGTGAACGCAATACAACGAGGCAGGGAGCAGGCGGAAGACGCCCTCCGACAGGCAGAGAACGATTGGCAGTCGGGTAGAACAAAAGTCGAGGGGGTTGAAATGGACATGCGTATTAAGACGGCACAGGCAATGGTCGCCTTCTGGGACGCGCGGGCCCGGAACCGTGTTCTGAGGGTTGCTAGACACAGCATTGATCAAGAGATACGGGGAAATCTGGCATTAAACCCGGCAGCAGAACGAAGCAGAGTCTTACAGAGGACTGCAGAACGATACGAGTCGATCTGGCCGGCAATAGCTCAAAATATTCGCTAATCAATCAGGCAGCTAGACGAATTAGTGGCAGATATGACCGACTCGGAGGCGGAAGACAGTGACGATGCAGCTGATGACGCCAGTAATGTCTCAGCCGACGAGGCAGCTGCAGACGAAGAAGGCCCTGACAGCGAATGGGAAGAGCCGGGGAGCAAGTCACCCCCCGAGGTGCCTATGCATTCTGACGATGGCAACGGCAAAGGCGATGACGAAGCTGGGCCCTCGGGCGTCAATGAAGCGACGTCTGACCTTGACGACGAGCCAGATATGGAATCGTTAGAGGAGTCAAGCCCAGACTCAAGCCCGTCAAAGACGGCTCTGACATCAAGCAAGGCTCGCCGGAGCAGCCATCTGCGCGGGTCAGGCCGCAATAGGCAGCCTGTCAAGACAGACAAAAAGGGCAAGGGCAAGGCAAGAGCCTAAAGACTCTTGCACATGGATGTTGATTTTACATGCGGAGCTGCCTTTCTTTGGTTTTTTGGGTTTGGGACGCCTAAGCGACTCCAGGCGTCTGGAGTCATGATTTTGTTTCTTCTTTCTTACATACGACCTTACAAAGGCGCATTGATATGCGACAAAGTCATCTGATATGGCTTTACAAATTACTACAAGGCCGACTAAGGGCCATCTTACAACGTTCGCAATCGACAAAGAGCTGTTCGCTTCGAGAAGAGCAACAACATCCGCCTTGTCAGCATTGACACGCCTAGCCAGGGGAGAGGCATACCAAGTTCATGGATAAGTTCGCATATGTTAAGGGACTGCCCTTAAACTGTCTTTTTCTTTTTCGACGAGGACGCCGACTTCTTCAGAGGGGGGAGGTTGTCATGCCCATGGCATGCCCTGACCAAGACGCCTCAGCAGATGCGCCTCAAAGGCGACTGCCAAATGTTAGTAGTAGTTAGTTACTTAGTCGCCTCAGAGGCACTTAGTCGCCTCAGAGGCAGATAGAGCATAGACACACTCCACTCATGCACTGACTTCAGACGGATTGTCGCCTTCATACGCATCTGGCCCACAGGTGCACCACAGAATCATTACTAAATAATACTTTTGTCATCTTTAAGTAATATTGTTATTTATTAATAAGGTTTTAGTCATCTTCTAATTAATAATTATCCTAAAGATCTATAATATATGAACGCTACTTATACTCTTAAGAAGGCACAACCTTATCTTAAGAACGCTTACTATAATAGCTAAAATATTTTGCCTATTAAGGAAATTATAAATAGCAGAACTGCTCTTATATTAAGAAGCATATAAAAGAGATTAGAGAGATTATTAACAGGGCTTAAGCAAGTCAATATAAGAGGAGTAAGCTAAAGGCGAGAATAGTTAAAAAGAAGAAAGCATAAGTGCAGAGGACTTCTTCTCTGATTCTGAAGGCGGAGCAAAAGTCTATCTTACGGCACTAAAGACGCTAATCTGTAAGACCCCTAAGTGGATTGCTAATACTAGTGTATCTAACTATATAACTGACTAGCTTTCTCTCTTTAGAGGACCCTTAAGAAGAATTAAAGAGATAATAATAAATTTAGCAGACTCAAGATTATATATTTAGAAGGCAGAATATGCCTAAATACGTATAAAAAAGGGAGTAATAACCTTATTAAATATATTATATATATCTAGTTTGAGCGCTAGCCTTCTTTCTAGCTTTTATTATATAAATTAGGGCTTCTAAGTAGTTTTAATAAGAAGGCCTTATATATATAAGATCAGAATAATAATATAATCTTTAAAGTTATTAGATATAAAGATCTCTATATTATTAATTAAATAAGTCTTAAAGCAACAAAGTCTACTTATCCTATATAATCTACTTTAGTAAATTTAACTATATATAGTATAGCCAAACCTAATATATTATTAAAGCGCTTTACTCTAAAAAAGATACTGTTATAGACTATAGTCTGTAATATCCTTTTTAAGCTACTTACACTTATGTTATCAGCTTATACCTAAGTTAAAGACATCTTAAGTATTGTTTACTATACTTCCTGTTCTATCCAACTAACTCTTTAGACTCAGTTTCTAATTAAGACTTGTCTTAACTAGTTAAGCCCTAACACTTTAATTACTACTCTTGAGAATACTAAATATAGTTAAACAGATATTATATATATTACCCAATAAGTATATACTATATTAGTAGCCTCAAAACCTACTATTATTATTAAGGGCTAAGGAAAGAATACATAGTTTAAAGTTATACTACTAGACCTATTTTATAAAGAGAGAAAGAGACTTTAAGAATTCTTAAACTAATTAAGAATTAACTTCTTATTTTATATATAAGTAGTAGACACAGATAAAAAGAAAGTATTATATATAGCTACCTTTCTTTAAGGAGCTATATATAATTAATTTGAACCCTATCTTAAGGACAAGCTTAAGAAAGCATTAAAGAAGTTATACTACTAGACTTATTTTATAAAGATAGAAAGAGACTTTAAGAATTCTTAAACTAATTAAGAATTAACTTCTTATTTTATACATAGACAGTAAATATAGATTAAAAGAAAGTATTATATATAACTACCTTTCTTTAAAAAGCTATATATAACTAGTTTAAACCTTACTTTAAGGACAAGCTTAAGAAAGCATTAAAGGATTAAGAACTAGATATATAATAAATCTTTTATAATTTTGCTAATTTTGTAGTTAAGATTAAATAAGTATATAAGGATATAAATATAGTTAAGAAAGCTAAATAAGACTTATTATATATAAGGCAAAAGAGATCCGCTATAAATTACGCTTCTAAATTTTATTAAATTACTTTACAAGTTAATTAAGAGGATATTATATTAGCAGCTATCTTTTATAAAGGACTAAAGAATTTAGTAAAAAATAATCTATTTAAGATTAACTAACTAAGCAAATTATTATCTTTAATCGAAATAGCGATTAAAATAGACAACCGGAATTATAAAAGACAACTTAAAAAAGACCAAAAGAAAAATTATATCACATTTCTAGTATGATACTAAGCTAACCAAAATATAGAACTCTAAGGCATTATCTTACAAGATAAAGTATACTAATAGACCTAGATATAACTAAAAAAGAAAAAAGACTAAGACTACCTAAGAAACATTAGGATAAAAAGAGCAAGTAAAGAGTTTTTAAAGAATAATAAATAAAGTAATATAAAAAAGAATTATACCTAATATTGTGCTCTTCCGATCTTATTATGTTAAAAAATATAAAAAGAATTAAGAATTAGATACTATAAAAAGAATTCTAAAAGAAAAAAGTTATAAGCTCTAAAGAAAGAACTAAGTAGATAAGAAATCTATAAGTAAAAAAAGTGACCTTAAGGAAATATTATAAAGATAATTAAGAAGAAGTATATTTAAAATATTATATAATCTGTTATAGCTAACTACTAATGTTATATACTTATAAAGTAAACTATAACTAAAGTGTAAACTAGGATTTAGAGCACTTAAACTCTAAAGTATACTAATAAGGAATATATAAGAAAGCGTAATAAAGACCTTATAAAAGGATGTTAACTCTATATTATATTAACTAGGTTAGCTAGGAAATATAATAAAGTTATAAGTATATAGTACTAAGTTTGCCTTTAATAAGTACTAACTAATATACTTTATATAAAGTAAACGCTATATAGAAGAAGACCTTATATTAATTATCTAGATAAGTAATTACTAAGTAGTAGTTAAGGATAAGGCAATTAGAGTGCTAAGGGTATGGCTAGACCTTAGGCTTACTTAAGACAAATATATAATATATATAACTTGTAAGAATATTATAGTCTTTGAGGCTCTAATAAGACTAACTATCTTTATCTAAGGAATATCAATACGTAACTTACAGCTATTATATACTGTAATAGTTAGGCCTACTCTATTATATAGTATATAAGAATAGGGTTTAAGTATATAAGGCACAAGGGAAACGCTAGTAAAAGCTATAATTAAATTACTTAAGAAGGTCAAAAATTAATGTCTCTATTATATTATAAGAGGATATAAGCGAATGCTTAAAGCAGTACTAGAAAGGGAAACCTAGATTCTACTAATTAATATTTATATTATAGGTATAAAGCTATATTATATAATTAAAACAAAGGACTACTAAGTAGAAAAAGAGATTATTAAAACAGTAGATACTATAGAATTATATATAAAACACATGCTTATTACGGCTAAATTATAGGCTAAGGACTAGTAAAGAGAGTGCTGCTACTAAAGCGTAACAGAAAATCTAAGAAATATATAAGTAAACAAAGGAGTGGCAGCACTATAGATGATTCACACACACAATGTAGACTTGCTAAATGTTCTAGGGCACAGGTCAGAACCCTTAACTACTTAGGCTAAGAAGACTACTTAATAAAAGGATCTTACTTGTTAAATAAGGTAATCTTGAGTAAAAGAAGAGATAGGCAGCCACTATATAGAGAAGAAGAGGCTAGCTATAAGTAATAATCTAGTCTATTCCTTAGGAGCAGGACACTTACATATTATATATAAGGCTAATAAAGGCAGAGTTAATAGTACTATTCTTAATATAATTAAAGATTATAGGCCTAAATATATAATTAATAGCTATCTAAGTATTAGATACTAATCTTATCTACGCTTATAGCTAACATATATAAATAGTTTACTATATCCTACTATACTGCCTTAGATATAATAGAGTAAGCATGCTAGCTGCCTATAGAATAAAGCATATAAGCGGGATCCTCTCTTAACCTATAAGCGTAAAGTATGTGGCTTACTAGTTTATCTATATAAGAATCCTAGAGCAATTTTGTACTGCAAAGGAGATAGCAGAGGAGGAGTTAGGAAGGTATAGAGTCTTTAAAGTAGCAGAGGAGTAATAGTAGTAAAGGTTAAGACCCTGAGAGATATTTAGAGTATAGTTGAAAGGACGACTATAGAGAAGGGAGTAACAGGTTTGTAAACGAAACATAAGTAGAGCAGAGATACCCTATAGAGTAATCTCTAACCTTTTACAAAAGTTACGCTTGTCTAGTCTAATAAGACTAGAGTTTTCCTTATTAGGCTTTTCTCTTGCTAGACAACTATCTATATAGCCTTATAAATAAGGATTAAATAAACGTTAAATAAAATAATATATATATTTTTTATTAGATCTATATATTAGTAACTAATAATATTATCTTTAACTTTTTCTTCTTTATATTAAGATAATTAAAATTACTACTTAATATTAAAATCTATAACTAATATAATTATAAGTTAAGTATATAAGTAATAAGTATAAGTGTATTACTAATCTGCGGCTAGTGCCAAGGAATTTAGC